AAATAAATTGTTAAGCTATCATCTTTAGTTTTGTTGCGGAGCAAAAATTATTGCAGGTTGCAAGCTTGCTTTTAGGTTTCCATGGTTAGACACGTAGCTATAGGTCAACTTGTCCACACATATTTGGATATTTAGTTGATATCTCCGCAGTTGACACAAAGTTTCAGCTACTCACTTCCTTAGACCTTTTAATAACCCAACTAATCCCCGATTTGCAATAGCAAAACAATTTCTTCACAGCACATTTTTTGAAGTTAACCCACAGCTGATTGAAACCATGAAATATTTGCAAATTTTTCTCCATTTGCTTGTACACACTGTTCGCAGCGCCCACACAGCATAACGTGCCCTTGAGCGCACTCAACTGTGACCAAAAATACATTTCATTGCAGCCCTCGACTCAACTTCATTTCGATGTACGAGTATATAAAGAGTATCAACATTTTTCGCAGTTGCTTTGCGCTTCATGATTTTCTACATTGTTTATTGAATTTTTTTTTTTTGTTGCATTTCCTTTTTTACTGACTGAATTTTCGTGGTGCTTATGCTGCGCAATTCTTTTCTGTAAGAATTTTAAGTTATTGCATTTCAGCACAGTGTGCAACAAAAATATGTTCTTTCTGTGTGTATGTGTGTGTGAGCATTCCGAACTTCATTTGCACTTCATTCAGTGCGGTTTTGAGTGAATAGTTTGAGCATTTAATGCATTCATAATTTCAAAAAGGTATGCAAAGTAGTTTGTTGTTGCTGGAAAGTTGAATTTTTTATGCAAAACAGAATTGCAGGAATGTTTTCGTAGTTGGTCGGCGAGTGCTACTGCTCTATTTTGTATAAGATTCTAGTTATTTTTTGCTTTGTTGAATATAAAAGGTTAATATCGAAAATTATACAAGTATGAGTCAGTTGTCATAATGAAAATTTGCAGCGAGAGTCAAAATTTTCTGAAAGTAGCTTCATCAATGAATTTTTGACCTTTAGTAGTCTGAGAAAAGTAATGTTTTTTTCAGAGATTACAACAACACCGTAGACAATTATTCAAGTCAAATTATTTGATTATTTATAGTCAACAGAAAAAGTTTTTCTTACAAGCCTTGATTCCCATCGTTCAGTTTGTATGGTAGCTATAAGCTATAGTGATCCATTCTGAACAATTTCTGCGGATGTTGTACCGTTGCTTAGGATAATAATATGTGTCCAATTTTGTGTAGATATTTCGTCATATAAAAAAGTTTGCCATACTAGGATTTGATTCCGATTGTTCAGTTTGTATGGCAGCTAGATATTATAGCGGTCCGATATCAGCGGTTGCGACAAATGTACAGCTTTATGGGGAGATAAGGACGTATGCAAAATTTCAGAACAATATCTCCAAAACTGTGGGACTAGTGCGCGTATATACACAGATGACAAGCGCAGATAGGAAAGACGGGCGAATAGACGGACCAACAGGCAGACGGAGCCGGCTAAATCGAAACAGCTGAAAAAGTGGTTAATCTTCTTATAATCTTACAACATCTTACAATGCACATGAATCGAAATGCTATATAAATAGCGATTGTCTAGTGGAGTTCTATTCCCAATAGATATTGCAGCCAAATTTAGAGGATAATTTCAATCTACTGAGCTGATTTTGACATCGACAATTTCGTATAGTATCAGTCGAGTTTTAATATGTTCAAGATTAAAGTTTTCAAAACTAGTAACTGTTATTCTAAAGTTGCTGAGTTTTATGAGGTATTTGACATTTCGCTAATAATTTGTGGCATATTCTTCTGTAGATGAGATTTCTGATCTGTTAGCAATTCAAGGATAAGTTGCTATGAGTTCTTACAAAAAATATATAAAAAGCTTACATGTAGGTGTTTAATTAAATACAAAAAGGAAAATTTCAGCTCTGGTCTGCGTACTAATTGAAAACGAACTCTGCAGCCGCTACAGATACGAGCTGTGTTTGTGCAAAATTTGTTTGAAGATTGACGGCGTAGTATGGTCTCTCATAATGTGTGGTACAGTTTCCTACTATCTTTTTGCGAATTTCTTTGTTGTACTTGGAAGTGATATAAAAGAAGGCGGACGCTCTGTATTCTATATAAAAGCTCTCGAGCGCAGCAAGAAGCCTCGCAGGCAACGCTTTCAGTTTTTAGTTGAGCTTGGCGAAAGATTAATCTGAATTCTCCATAAGCATGCTGCTTCAAATTTCATTCAACAGCGTTACAATACACTACAGATTTAATTAAAAAAGAAGCAAACGTTTAATATGAAATTTCAGTTTCATTGGAAGCAAAGTGACAGAAAATGAAATAAGATACCAGCGCACCAATAAACTACTCGAAAACGCAAGTGAATTTATATATATATATGTGCAACGGAAGCAAATTAAATATAATTGCGACAACTAAATTGTCACCAGCATCGGTTGCATAGTGACTTCTTTGCTGCTCCTTGCCACCAAAGACCACTTGACACTTCAGCTGAACGTACAATTGCGTCCCATGGACATACGATTGACCAAATGAGGTCCGCAGAGCTCACACAAAGAGTGTATGTGTGTATGAAAATGTATGCGAATAATAAAGAAATGTAAATGAAATATGATTATAAATATGTATGTGCGCATGTAGTGGACGCACTGTGATTTCATGCAAAGTTCACAAATTGCGCGCTGCGTTCACCACACCAGTTATGACACCCGCTTTGGCTTGTGGTGTGCCTGCCACCGCTTGCGTTGCTGAAAGCCAACTGACTATAGCCGGTGTCAGCAACAGTCGCAAAAGAAGTTTACATATGAATGCGCTTGAATGGAAGTGCGGCAGTAGCGGCTCCAGCGGGAGGGTGGCGGTTGTAGGTTAAAGCAGTGTGGTTTTGAATCGAGATGGCAGAGGCAATGCTTCACCGGATATCCAATCGACGCACCTCCCTACTGTGGCTACTGCGCAAATGCAAGCCCTTAGCTCGTATTGCAAAAGAGTACACTTTTCTGTTGCTCCTGTTCTACTCTCTGGAGAGTATTGACTATTGGCAAGAGAATTGCAAGGCGGTGCTCTTAAATTGCAAAAAGTAATTGGCACGGTGGAAAGGTTTACACTTACGAAGCTCATTTAAGTTTATAATAGTTAATAAAGGAGCTCTAGGGTCTACCTCCTATGACTTGGGGTTTGATGGTTTTTATTTACAATATATAGATATTTTCATAAATGGAAGTGATATTTTACGGAGTAGCAATATCTATCTGCGTTATTTAATGTATTAAAAAATAGTTTGAACTCTAATCATCATCAAAAATCATCTCTACTAAACCCCATTGTACTAAGAATAAATACTTGTACTAAGAATAAATAAGATCACAGGTTATTGGAATTTGGAAGTTAGTAGTGGATTATACAATATTATTAAAAAATGTGACTAGATCATGTTAGTAGTACATCATTCGAATAACTGCGAGGTTTTTGTTCATGCTGAAAGTTATATTGAAAGCTTCGGAAAAGCTCGAAGAAAGCTTCGTGGAAGCTGGAAGAACGATTCATGGCAAAATAATTAAATAACTAATAGCATTGTGACGGTCATATTTTAACTATGGGAAGAGCTTGCTGAATACGTGACTCTGGAAAGCTTTCAATTTCCCGAGCTCCGGAAAATCACATATAAAAGAATAAAGAATGCTATAGAAAATTTAGCAGAAACAGCTACCATATATCCAGCAGAAGTGTCAGGATCGCATTTTTATTACTTCTTACTAAGTAAGGCTTACTGTACATGTGATTCTGGAACGCTTAAAGCTTTGCAAATGCGAAAGTGAAAGTTTTATGAAGGCTGGGTAAAAGCTTGCAGAAAGATCGTTCAAATATTCAGCAAAAGTGGCAGCGTCTGACATAAGAATTTTTCTGAATACGTGCCACTCAGAAACTTAAAGCTCGGTAAAATTGAAAATAAAAACGTAAAGAAAGCTACTGGAAAGCTAATAAAATTATCTTTCAAATATGCAACAGAAGTGCATAGATCGCATTTTGATTACTCCCAATCGAACAAAGTTTACTGAATATGTGAAACAACAGAAAGCTTAAAGCTTCAGAAATGCACAAGCGAAAGTTTAATGAAAGCTGGGTGTAAGCTTAGATAAAAATCGTTCAAATATTCAGTGTGAATGGGTCATATTTTTATTAGTCGTTACTGAGAAAGCTTAATGTGTTGAGGAACATATTAAAGTGTTTTTGTAGCCTTACGAATATTTATAGAGAAATTTCTATTTAGTAGATAGTGGTGGACATTCTATTTCGCCTAATTCTATAAAAACTCTAAATGTTTTCTTTTAGAGAGAAAATGTGTGACTAAAGCAGCACCAAGCCCAATCAGAGCCCATTATTCAATCAAACTTTTAAAGAAAACCCATTTCGAGGCATTGTCTTCTTCATTCTGTCTTCTTTTCTCTATATACACTACCAAGTAGGCCCATTGTCCAATCCGTGCCCTCATTATAGCTGCCGTTTGTGTGCCGCTAGTGACGTCATTACTGACACATATGGCCAAAATGGTGCACTGCAAGCCAAGCAACATACAAAACGACATTCAATTCAACGCCAGCAGAAAAGTAGGCAACAAATAGCTGACACTGACAGGCTATTGCAACATAAGCCGCATAAAAGTATGCCGCAAGAATAGATTTGTGCAAGCAACAGTAGCGGTAGTTACGCAGCTATAGCATTAGCAATAACAACAACAGCGGCAAGCAGTTAACACCAACACAGAGACAATGTGTCACAGCACAGACTAAGCTATGAAGGCGGTAGCTGCAGCAACAGCGCCAGCAACAGTTTGACATTCACGCACGCATACACACACACAGGGGCACACACCTTTGAGAAACACGAGACTTTGTTGCGCGCTCATTATCCGGTCTAAATGAGCGCAACAGCTCCGTTTACTCCCGCGTGCCGCATAAATCTACAATGTATGTAGATAGGCGCTCGGTTTGGCTGGCAGCTTGTTCGTATTGAACGAAGAGCGTGCAAACGCTTTGCCGAAATATTGCATATAAAAAGGCGCACAAGCCCTTGCCAGCCGTCAGTACGACTGAAGCCGACGCAGCGAACGCATTCGCAACGAATACAACCAAACGTACGGATACCAACGGACAAACGAACAGACATAGACATACAACAAAAGTTACTGTAGACAATAAAGTGTAACCAATAAAAGCGCTGCAGTAGTGTAACGTGCGCGTCATACTTGCGAACTGTAAATTTAATTTTTATAGCATAATTTTTGGCGCTGGTAAACGCTTAAGTGGTTTAGCGATTTTTGGCTGATTTTTAATACTTATTTGCAACACATTTGTCTGCTTGCCGCCTTAGTGAACTCGAAAAATTGTGCGCGCGCCTGAAACGCGACAACAAACGACTTAAAACTTCAGCTATGGCAACTAGGCATTTATCAACGGCAGCGCCTGGGGCTATGCTGCGCCTGTGGCTAGTGCTCTGCATGACTTTGAATGCGGTAAGTGATATATATACACATACACATATAGCTGTACTTTGTAGCATTGTATCAACGACACTTTCACACACACACACATATACACATATTCACACAAAATTTATTGCCAAGCTCGCTTGCTCGCAAGCCGCCCATTAAATTTAGCGCAACTCCCCATGTTAGTCTGGAAATTCCATTAACTTTTCGTTGTCCTTTGGTGGTTCCTGTGGCCACTGTTGGCTTTTATTATCGCGGAAATGTTTTAAAATTGCTTTAACACCCGCTGTCACTGCATTGTATTTGCGTACAGAGTTGCTGTATTGGCCAACGCAGGTCAGCGCTTATATACATATATCTTGTCGCACACACACACGCACGCATATAAAAGTGTAAAATACAAGCCGTGCGGAAAGCAGCTGTGCGTTGAAAAATTCATTAAGATAACACCAAGCGTCTTTTGTGGCATAAAATTCATAATTCTTGTGGATCCTTTATGCTACTTATTATTTATTTAATGCTTTGCTGCTTTGTGGACACTAAGAACTAAGAACAGTAAGGTTTTTTTCCATACTTTTTGGCATTATTCTCCTATCATTTGTAGATTTCGAAATAAAATCGTAAAAATATATGTGTGTTGTTGTCTGCGTGCTTAACTTAGATTGTGTTCAACTTAAGCGGATTATTTTCGTGCTTAACAGTTAGTTAGTTTGGCAAAAGGATTAGTGTAATAAAACGATTAAGTTTTATGCGTTTCAGACGTTCGGTGCTTTAGTGATTATTTTTGTTTGAAAGTTTGAAGCTTGACTAAAAAATGCAAATTTAATTGTCTGTATCTGATGTTTTAAACTTTTTTCTTATATTTATATTAGTTTTGAATTTTTTGGATAACTATAACTTATACATTTTTTTTGTAAATTTTAAAGTTTAAATATTTCAAACATTTTCGGAACAATTTTATATATATATAATTTTGAATTTGGTTTTTCTTATTCAAATGCGCTCGTAATGTTATTAAAAAAAACTCTCGCATATAATTAAATATTTAAAATTAAAAGTAAAAAAAATGTTGTTAAAATTTAATACACAAAAAAAATTTTATTGTGAAAAATAATTTTAAAATATTTTTGAAAGCGAAATTTACTATAAAATATTTATTTTCTAAAATTAAAATTATAAATTAATTATTTTGGTTTTATATTTTATTTTTATACCCTAGGCAGGGTATATTAAGTTTGTCACGAAGTTTGTAACACACAGCAGGAAGCGTAGTATACGCTATAAAGTATTTATACTTGTATATTAAAAAAAACAAGATGGCATTTATGTAGCGCTTCAGAAGGCGCATATTTTGAAGTCGACAAAATAAATATTAATTAAGATTAAAAATTTTTGGTTTTATTTACAATTTCCGAAAACTTGCTGGTTTTAATGTATGCACATCAATGATGAGCGTGACGCGTTGTAGCGATCCCCCAATTTTTGAGACATTGAGCTAAAATTTTTAACACACTCTTTTCTTCACAAAAAACTGCTCATTGGACCACTAAAGCTTATAGCTGCCACAAACTGAACGACTGGAATATAGTTTTTGTATGGAAAACTTTTTAATTTGACAAGGTATACTCGCGAGATTTGCCAAGGATCATTGTCCAATGCCATGGGGTAATTTGGACTGATTAGCCAAGAGCTCACATAATATTTAATTTGTAAGACAGACATTCAGTTCGCTTATACGACAAAAATATCAACTGGCAAGTTTTTATTTAAATAGATCTGGAAGTTAAATGTAGTTTATTAAGCATACCTAGTATTGTCTTGTGAAAAAAGTCGGAGATATGTGATTTTGAAATATTTAGATTGTTGTTGGATTACGCCATACATATATGTAAGGCGGTCTGCATACTTTAGGGCGCTTCAAAATTTGGGTGCAGTTTTTTTTCTTGCAGACAACAGCACAAGTGCTTATGTATACAAGTGCTTATGATACTTCTCAATCATGTTATAAAAATGATTAAATTGCATAACATTCTAATTTTCCTGCTATTAGAATTGATTTAATAAGATTTTAACTCATAAAAAGTGTTATTTTGAACGAAAAATAAAAAATATATTATGCTGCAGAATATTTAAAAGTTATTCATATAAGTATTACCTTCGAAATTCGAAGCTCACTATTAATGCTTGAAATATGACTGAGCTGCGAAAATATTAAAATGCTTGCGTGTTTTATTTTCGGATTTAGGCATATAAAAAATATTAATTTTATGCTCTCAAACCTACAATAATAAACATTTAAAGTAGCACTTCATGAATTCCATATATAGTGAGTACTTTTAACTCACTTTTGCCACAATTATGCTGAACAAACTATGAAAATAGAAAAATCGCAGACTTCATCAGCTATTCAAAAACTAAACGAGTCTTGTGATCAACTTTTTTCGCTTTACTTTTTAAAATTTCTCGCTCGTTAAATACACTACAATCGAAAAAAACCGCATAAACTAAGTTTTTTGTTGAGTTTTGAACAGTATCAATGACACAAAAACAAAATCGTATGCAAATGTTTCGCATATCTCTCATCAAAATATTATTTTTCCACCGAAACCATTAAATAAATAAATATACACAACATTTAAGCTGCAAAATAAACTGTTATTTCCGTAGTGCTTAAAAACGTAATCATATTACAATCTCAAATGATTTAAATCGCTAATAAATGATGTGTGAAAAATACACACACACGTATTGAAAAAAATGGCTGCAGTTGTGTGAGTGCGGCATTTTATAGACGTAAAAAAACAAATGGTAAACGTGTATTTACAACAGCACAATAAATGTCAAGAGTGACAGAAATACATCGCAGCAATTTTTATTTGCATTCGAGTTATTGCTACATATCAATATATATATATATATATTATATATATGTGCTTGTTGGGGTGTGTCAAACAAATATATTATTTTTTTCACTTTGTACGCTAAAAAATTGGTTGGTAGGCAACTCAAAAAAAAACTCGTCTCTTAGTTTTTTAGAAAATAAATTCTCTACCGAAATAGTCTCTTATAATTTTTTCGTAAACCTCACCGCTCAAAAGTTATTAAAGGTATCATAGTAAATTTTAAGTTCACAAAAAAATAAAAAAATGCTTTAAAATAATTAAAATTTAAACTTTAATCACTTTAGAAGCGAGAGGTCTACGGAAAAATTTTTTTTTGAGTATTAAATTTTCTACAAATAAAATATACGAGATATTTTTTTTTTGTTTGATAGATACTGAGTTCAGAATTTTTCTTACCAATAATAACGAAAAAATAGGGAATTGATATATGGATAAACTTTTCATTAGTCTTAAAAGCAACGAGCTTGAGAGAATTTTTTTTAACTGTTTATTAATCAAATTTTCAGCATATAAAGTGCAAAAGATTAATATTATAGACTTATTTTTACCCACCCTAGTGTCTGTGTATATAAATATTTAGTAGCAATTTGATTGATACTCCAGCAGAAAAACAAGCCGACGCGTTAGGCATGTTTAACGTGGGCGCATAAAATATTCGCAACATTTATAAAAAGTGCCAGGAATTTGATATTTGAAAAATGCTGCAACACATACACATACAACCCAGACAAACACTTACACTCAAAGATATAAATACATATACACAAAAAAAAAAAAAAATACAATAATGGAGTAAGGCAAGTCTGCGGATTTTAAATTATTATATTTACAAAAAATTTTGCTGGGGAAAATTAATAAAGCGCAAACTGTGCAAAATAATACATTAAGCGCGATGAAAAAAAAAACGAAAAGGAGGCGGCATAAAGCGGAAGTAACAAGTCCGAAAAGAAAAACGAAACAAAAAACTAACACATTTCTTTTCAAGAACAAAAAAAAAAGTTATTTAAGTGGCAAAGTTTTGTGCACTTTCTTTGTTGTTGCAAACCATTTTTTATGCAAGTAGAAAATCGCCACTAAGTGGCAATAACAACAATAATAACGGGCTACAGTATGGCTAGAGTTTTTTTTAGTTAGCGCCTATGCTGGCATTAGTGCAACTGTTCAGCAAAGCCTGCGTTCAAACGGCAAAGCTACTGTTAGTGTTGTTGTTATTTGTGCCGTTATGCTTTATACTCGTATTGGGGTAATAAATTTGAGCGCAGCAACAAATAAATTTGCTGTCAGCTGCGCAACAAGCAAGCATGGCAATGCGCCTAAGTTACAAAAAAAAAAAACGAAGTGTGGCAACAACAACAAAAACAGCAACAACAACAAAAAGTGTAACAGCAATTTATTTTACAATTGCTACGGCAAAGCTATTATTTTCTAATTTTTATTTTACAAAATTTCTAGCGGCAGCGGCGTTTAGCTATAAAGGGTGTGTGGGGAGCGTTATAGCGGCAGCGTGCTAGCTAACTAAACATAAATCATGTTCCGAAAAAATTACCTATCACAAATAAATTAGGTTCGGCGAAGCATGAACAGCGTGAAATAGAATTTCCGGATGTTTGAGCGGAGACACTTCTTTGAAGACTTCAATATTTGAGGCAGTTGAGTTCTGAAAAGTTGAAAATTTTAGATTTTATTTAGAAAAGTTTAAAACAATTTAATTTCTTTTTTTTTCTTAAATTTACACGCGCTCTCTTCCAATTCCTTTCTACACTCACTTGCTTAATGTTCTTCTGCTAAATTAAATTCACCAACTACAATTTAACTACAACAACAAGTGCACATTAAATTTTCTCTTCTCCCACCAGCCCCGCCTGCTTTGTAATTTATGTGCCAGCAATTTACGAATGCTTAATTTGCTTTCATTGCTTTGCCGAGCAACACCGCCATTCGACCATCAGTTGCTTTGCTCGCTTTAATTTCGTTTTTGTTGTGTTAATTGAATTGTTTGCTTTTTACTTTGTTTACACGCCAGCAAATTTTATTGATAATATTTACTTCATATTTGAATTTGCTGCTGCGCGCCGTTACTTACAACTTATGAAAATAATTAACCAGAAGTTCGGCAGACTT